ATGAAGAAGACACTCCCGTCATAATATGCCAAGAAAAAAAAGATGATGGTACTAAATGTGGTATACAGTATGTCTATTCCAGCGGGTCAACAGGAAATGCAATTATCCATCTTCGGAACTCCCATGAGATATGCAACAATGAAAAAACTAAAGTTTGTAATTAGATCTATTACTATATTAGTTAATATTTAATATATATTTTTAATTAATGAAAAATCTTAATTTAGAAAAAACAAGTCTTACCAAGAAATAAAAAACATCCTGAAGCCCGTCAGATTCAACTACGACAATCTCTTACGACCTGGATAATAAATGATTCACAACCTATTTATGTTGTAACTAATGAAGCATTTCGTAAATTTATTCATAACCTAGACCCAGCATTTATAATGCCATGTATGGAAACTGTAAAAAAATTAATCTATACGGCATATGATTATAGTTTACCCAAGCTCCAAGAAAAATTAATAAGTGAAGCTATTTCAGTATCATTAAGTATAGATTTGTAGACAGCTCGCAGTCGCCAAGGTTATCTTGGCATAACTTGTGCCTTTATTAATGATGATTGGAAATTGTGTGAATTGGTCCTTACAATAAAATACATTCGATATCCGCATACAGCAGAACACATAAGCGAAGAATTAGAAGCCATTATGCATGAATGGCAAATTCAAGATAAAACTTTTATCATTACTACGGATAATGGTTATAATATAAAAAGAGCCATATTAGATATGGAAGAAGTTGACTGGCTAAATTGTACGGCTCATACATTGCATCTAGTGATTCAAAAAGGGCTAATTTCAGTAAAAACATTAGTTAAAAGAGTAAAACATTTAATTAACTTTTTTAAAAGGCCTAAACAAAGTGAACGTTTTGAGGAAGTCCAAAGTAAATTTCCTGAAATTTACCAAACAAATGATTTAGAAGATGAAAACAATAATGACGATGATAATAATATTGACGTAATATATATCTATAATTATTTACAGATTCGCTTTTGATATAGTCACATTTTGTTATAATCACACTACTTCTTACCTATAGTTAGACCCGTTATAGTACTCTCGATATAGTCACACCTTGTTATAGTCATACTATTTTTTTACCATATCGTCTCAAAATAACGCCCCGGGGTGTTATTTCAAGACACAAATTTTAAAACGAGTTAAATTTTTTGTCTCGAAATAACGCCCCAGAGCGTTATTTCGTGATGATACGGTAATCTTATTTTTATATTACAACTTCTAATAATTACCAAATTCTTATTTGTTTCCCAACTCAGTAATTATATCAAGATCTGACTGTATTATAAAACATAAAATTTGAACTTCATATAGTCCAACTTTTATTTTTTATAATCGTAAAATCCTTGTTTCCCAACTTAGTGATTATGTCCAAGATTCGACTGTATTAATATAATTAGTAACTCTAACATATATATGTTTTAATTTATTAGAACGTCAAAAATGTTTCCGAATACTTACATGTCATCACCGATTGCCCCACGCGGTGGAATTCGTCTTATCTAGCTTGGAATCGACTTCTTAAATTAAAAGATCATATTAGCCTTCTTGTAAACCTTCTTTCAACTAAATCTGATTCCAGTACCAAAAAAGATCTTAAATATTTAAAAAAAATTTTACTTTCCGATGATGAATGGGATACAATAAGTGAACTTGTAGAGATTCTTCAACCCTTTTCTGAAGCTACCAATTATTTAGGCGGAAGCAACTATTGCACATACTCGGTCTTGGTTCCTATTTTAATCGAACTTAAAAACAGATATCAGCCTAAAGATAGTATTGAGACCGAAGACATTAATAATTATGATGATGATGATGATCAGGATATATTTGATGATACAAGTGATGATGAGGAGGAGGAAGAGCAGGCTTATGCACCAATTAATGTAGACGTTGATAAGGTTAAAAGTAATTTGTATAATGCAATAAATCACTATTGGCCCAATTTAACAACACCTAAATTACTTTTGCCTAGTCTTTTGGATCCTAGATGTAAAAATCTATCTTTTGTCACATTCGCTGAACGGTTTGCTACTGAAAATCTACTTCGTGAAGAATATAATAGGATGAAAAATAGTTTAGATAAAGGAAAAAAAAATGTAGTTATAACGGAGACTCGTATAAAAAAAAATACTAAAAGTAGCATCCTTTCCAGTTTTAAAAAGCATACGCCAGCTATGATTGAGGAGATTTCAGAGTATTTAAAGCTTGAGGAGATTGATTTTGACTGTGATCCTTTAGGGTGGTGGCATGAGCGACGTAATAAATTCCCTGTTATGAGCAGATTAGCAAAAAAATACTTGGCAGTTTTTGCATCTTCAACGGCTAGCGAAAGGCTTTTTTCAAACGCGGGAAATTTAATAACTGCAAAAAGAACTCGTATAAGTCCTAAATTGTTTAAACGATTAATATTTTTTAAAAAAAATGAAAAACACTTGGATAGTATTTACCCATCTAAATAACTTTATACTGTATTTAGAAGTAAAAAATAGAAATTTTTATCTGATATGTACGTACAGTACGTATGCATATTATTGTTACACAAGATTTTTTTATAAATCTATTACCCCGTATATAGATGGGTACGTATAGCTTTAACTGTGATTTAGTATGAAAAATTCACAGATAAGTATATCATTATTGTTCTCTATAAAGGTTTAGAATTTTCGTTAAACGATTTATCTTAAATTGGTACATCTCTGTAGTTTAGTTACTTAGAGGGTGGTGCATTGTAATAAGACTTTAGTGCTAATTGTAGCAGGTTGAATTTGAGATTAAATCTTAATTTTTGTTATTGAAAAGTATATGTTAATTATATTTATTTATTGCACTAGATTTCAAGCAAGATTTTTTGTACTAGTTATGCAAACATTATTTCTCCTAGATAAAATAAGTATAAGCAAATCAAATCATCATTCAAAAACCTTTACTAACATATATTCTCTTATAGAAGTTATACCCTACAAACATAGTAAAAAGAGATATAAGAACTCTATAAGGATAAATAGGTAATCTTTGATTAATGATTGGATAGCACCATTAGAGGTTGTATTTATACCTTTAATTGCTGGATTAGTGTTCGCTCCTGTGCTCTAAGTTGCTGCAGTTTTTAATTGGCGCGTCAGACAAGTGGTGAGTAAGAGTAAATAATATTAATCATCATATTTAAGCGACTAATTTCTCATTTTCTAATAATAGAAAGCAATACGAACTTAGTTGAATATTTAGTTTACTACAGCACTTTAGAAGCAAAAACTGAGATTATAATACCAGTCACTCCCTGGATAGCCATATGGTGGAGACATTCACATTAAAACAGTTTGGAAATTACCGTATGATCTCAAAATAACGCACGGGGCGTTATTTCGAGTGGCTTAATTTAAAGAGAGCTAATAATTAATTTAGCAGAATAATTTTTTAAACCTAATATTTAATATAAAAGTTTTAAAAAAAATCTTCGATCAAGTTAATTATTGACTCTTTTTAAATTAAGCCACCAGAAATAACGCCCAGGGGGCGTTATATTGAGATAATACAGTAAATATGGGCTTGATAGTCCTCTAGTTTTGAAAGGCGTCTCAGTTGATATTATGGTAAGAATTATTAATGTAAAAACTCAACGTCCGTTCATTATATTTATTGAAGAAACTTTTAGAAGTACCAGTACTATTGTATTAAGGGATTTTAGAAGTAATATTACATATCATGCTTCAGGATCCTGTGCTATTTAACGTTACGGTTATATAATACAAGATCTGATACATAGACAAGTATGGTATGTAATAAATCAATATAATTTTCAATACATCTAGCAACTAATAATCTAAATTTGAAATCTAATTAGAGTATATTTGGTACAACTCCTATTCGCAGCTATGTCTCAGTGATATTAAGGTATGTCATTGAGTATTATGAATAAGCATAATTATTCAAATTAAAAAATCCTGACAGACACGTACTATAATTTTTGGTGATTCAATGATGGCTCTTAGTGATCTGTGAATCTTATACTTTGTAATGTTTCAACGGTCAATTGGAGGAATTTTAAAATTCTAAAATGCAAGTACAATTAATTCTCAAACGTGCGTGAACAGATAGACAAATTAATTGTATATTATAATTGGTTAATTTTGGCATCTATATTAAGAGCCAAGATAGCTACTCCTTACTATATAAGTACTATGGTGAACTGAACTTTAATTGAAATGTCCTCATTTCGACTAGAAATCTGAGGGGTTTTTTTTTATAATTATAGTAAGTATAGTTTCTATCTGATGAAACCATATTACTATATTTTTTAGTAGATTACAAATAAAATACATCATTTTTGTCTCTTTTACAGGTGAACAATTTTGAACTATTCGAGTTGTTAGAACAATTTGAGTAGCATTCGGTATTTGAATTTTCAGATCTTAGGAATTTTGTCAAATGACATTTTACCGGAATGATCTTAATTTATGTTATAAAATAATGTAGGCACTCCAAGAAGTATCTAAGTTATATTTATTTACTAAGGGTGATAATTCAAACGACAATATAAATTTGGAATTACCATTAGGATCGCAAAAATGGTTTGTGTAAATATTTATATTTTTTCGCTTAGGTCATACAAAAGTAATTTCTTGATTTTCATAATCTTGCCGACTTAGTTTTGATATTTCTAATAACCGAATGATATTTACAGCCGTTATTATTATTCCTGGGACACCTTATGAAAACTTAACCGAATGATTATTCTGCCGATTCTATAAGTTATTGATTTCGGCATGATCAATGTAACGTTTATTATTTGACGGAAATAATCTAAAGACAGTTACGTACGTACGTATATAGGTTTTGAATCTCACGTGAAACAATAAAATACTACAAGCCTTTACAAGCCTTCAAACGATCACTATCTACGATACAGCAATGACAATTATTAATAGATAATGACCAGATAGCTGGCTATCTACGATACTTTTGAAGCATATTCGCCGGAAAAGATATGGATGTGTTGAAAGGCTTCCGTCAGTGTAAGAAAAAATCTTTTAAGGCTTTAAAGAAAATCCTGACTGGTATTTTTATGAGTTACAAAGAGATTGAACGTGAAAATACGGGTCGTTTAAAGGCTTGTAGTATTTTATATGTTTGACGTGGGTTTTAATTTGCAAATCGATTAGTAATAAATTTAAAACTTCAGTACGTACGTACGTAAAAGCTTTAGACCATCTCCGTCGATAACAAACGTTACATTAATCATGCCGAAATCAATAACTTATAATCATTCGGTTAAGTTTTCATAAGGTGTCCCAGGAATAATAACAGCTGTAATATTTTATAAAACTAAAAAAACCAGACAGCCGGATCTGTCTTAACTTTTAATATTACAAATCAAAAGAAATTAATTTTGGGTGGCCTTATTTCTAATTTATACTTCTTCTATAGCTAATAATTTTTGAATTTTTCATTTAAAAGGAACCGATATTTATTATGATTTTATTGGTAGTAATAATAATTATTATAAAAATTTTTATTATTTTTATAAGAATTATTATTATTATTATTATAATTATAATAATTATTCTTCTTAAACATTTTATTTAAACAATAAATGTGTATTGTTATAATCGAATAGACAATGTATTAGTTTATTACAGCCTATACATACTGCTCTGCTGAAAATATTTCTACATCTATTTTTTGTTAGAAACAGTGCCGCTCATACTATAACACAAAGCCAAAGCCTAAACTCATAATTAATGCCATAACCAAATTAAAAGCCGAATTTAAATACATAGTAAAAGCTAATTGCGGCTCGCCGAATATATTTTATTCGATTTTTAAGTTTTTTTTTTAAAGTCTCATTTTTGTTAGTGCGCAGGAGGTAGTTTCATAGTTAAAATGTAGAATAAATGATTTTTTAATATGTTTTGATTTTTCGCATTTCTTCTGCGTAACACTTGATTTTGAAGTCTGTTTGGCCTAAAAACTTTTTTGGTGGTAGTACAAAAATAGTTCTCCCTAATACTTCGGATGATTCGGTTAATCCGTTTCGGATATCTGACATAAATGGATGGATATCCGGATAAGTCAATGCGGGTAAATGGATAACGGATTTATCCGGATTGAAACTCTACTTTCATCAGTTTTTTTTTTAGTTTGTGAAACTAATCTTTTATTTTTTATTAGCTTTTTTATTTAAAAGCAGTAACAAAATGTAGATTGGGTTGGTTTGGTCTTAAAATAAGTACTAGCCTTTTTTATTTATCTTTTTTTTTAGAGTTTCAAAACCAATTTTTTTTAAATAACTTTTTTTATATGATTTTACTAAAACGTACCTATGGTGTTTTACACTTATATATCCATTATCTTAAATACTAGCTAATTAATTAGTGTGAGATGTTCTAAGTAAAAATGTTCTATGCTTTCAAAAACTCTTCCCAAACCCTAATCCTAACCTTAATATCAACTTTAACATGAAAAAATTGATATTAAAAATTTTATATTCAAAACTTATAAAAACTTAGAAAATTTAAAAAATATAATAAAAATATATAATAGATAAAAACCACTATAGGTGCATTTAATAATAATTGTTTTTATAAAGGCAGTAACTGAATATAAAATAAAACTAAATAAAATAATTTTCTTTTATTCATTTTTGGAGTTAGTATAAATTTTGTTTAGATTGTGACATTTGTCTAATATACTTAGGATGAAGCTATAGCTTATAAATTTATATTGTATTATTTGTAGATAAATTAGCATTATATTTTTTACTATATTTTAGCATTATATCTATATTATGTTTTTATCATTTATTTTTTAATAAAATTTATTAAACATATGTAATTAGACAATAAAATAATTACATATACTAGTCAAAAATTTTAATATAATAAGCTAATATAAAAGCAAAATATATAAAAATAAAAATTATAAAATCAGATATAAGATAATTAATAAAATAGTATAATCAACAAAATATCAGCCTATAGATAGAGAGAAGTTTAAATGCATATTAAATTAAAATCTTATAATTAGATAAATAATAATATCAGTTATTCTATAGAATAAGTGGATAATATAAGAAATAAGCTTTGCTAATGATTAGTAATTATTAATTTTTAATAGCAGAGTTGTAGAGTTTGTGAATTTGACCACCTATTCTATTGAACATCTATAATATTTTTATAAAAACTAACAAATAATATAAGATAGATTACTAATTATTTAAATTTAATGGGTATCTATTAGCTCTTTGTACTAAATTTAGTACAAAGTTTTGGTGAGCCAAACCAACTATCACCAACTATTGTATGACCACTACCAAACCATGGCTGTGTTAATCATAAAGTATATACTGCAGAACTACTATAATTAGAAATATATCATTTATTATTTCTAATTACTTTATCCTCACATAGTTCTAATTGAACAATAATATTCATTAAACTATCGGCAAGAGTTTTCTATTTTT